ATTATCCAAATGGTATATATATATATATATATATATATATATATATATATATATATATATATATATATATATATATATATAAAGGTTCAAATAAAAACCCTAAGAACCTATTATTTTTACCTTATGATAAAATGAATATATGTTATTTATCGAATAAATGTTAGTAAAGGGTATTTGTGTCTGATAGCTAAAACAACAAATGGCAAGATTGTAAATTAAAAAAAACTTAAGCCCAATTTTTTATTCTATGTCTATTCTATCGGACCATAGATCTAGATCTAAACAAAAATCATTTCAAACAACAAAAACCCTCTCATCTTTTTCAACCATTTGGATGAAAACCAACACCTTAAATGTCGTCGATGTCAGCCATCCACCGCCACACCGCCGGCGACGGCCCATCCACCGCCACATATCATCCTCCGCCTCGACCTCTGGTTACCGCCATAATTTCCGATTTCCGTCGTCGATGGTGTGCCACCGTCGTAACTTCTCTGACGACCGAACACGTCTAGAAAACGAACAACAACTCCGACGATGCACCACCTCCGACTGTTGTATCTGATGGTTTGTTATGAGATTTATGAATCTGACGACTTTCCTTTACAGCTTGTGCTTAGATTTGGTTTGATTGTAGTGATGTGTGCTTCGTCTCCGACACCTAACCTCGCTAGAACACCCAAAAAACTCGTCTTCATCTTTTCTCTTTGATCTCCGGTGATCTAACACCGACAACCTCTTGAGGTTAGATGTTTTTATATGCAAGTAATAGTTGAGATCGAGATGAGCTCCGCTATAGTTGTTTCTGATTTCGATTGCTCAACAGATTTGTAGAAACAGATTTAATTGAGAGTGTAGAGAGAGCAAAGCAGATCATGTAGTCGTTGAATAGATCTATGTTGAAAGTCAAGGAAAAACAAGAGAAAAGCTTTGATTTCGATGGAGTAATGAAGCTTTAATTATTCTGGAGATACTAAAAAATTGATAAGGTACATATAGCCGATCTAATTTAATCATTTTTTTTATTTTGCTTGAATAATACTTTTTGATTTGTTTGGATATTACTTTTTTATTTTGCTTGAATATTACTTCTTGCTAGCTGTCATATAGCTTTTTGACACTACTTTTTTTTGCTAGCTAGCCTATAGCTTCTTTACATTTATTTATTTAGTCGGACATATCATATAGCTTCTTCATATTTATTTATTGAGTCTCATATTTACATTTATTGATCGTATATATTGGATGAAATATGTATTATTTAATAGAAATTGTTATTAGGTTTTTTTAAAGACTATTGGAATTATAGACAAATCAAATAGCTTAGTGTTTTAATTTAATGATAATTCCATATTAACATATATAATAAATAAACTTTGAATTTGAGACTGATTATGTGAAACTTAACGATGTAATACTATATAGCCTTAAAATTTGGTACACAATGTGCTTAATGAAATGCATTATTGGATTAATATTAAATCTTTAAACTGTGAATTAGTGAAATAATTGGTTTATTAAATTGTAAATATAATATTTAAGCTGTGAATTCAGAATTTTATATATAGATCTGATTTGGATTGAATGATGATTGCATCAGTGCCACAAGTGGTAGGTAGCGACATGTGGTAGTTAGTGATTGTGCACACATGGTGTTTGATGAAATGCCAAAAAAATTTGGAAAGTCATTAAGCTGTGAATATGTGTTTTTATGTATTAATTTGTGAATATGTAAGTTATTAAGTTGTGAATGTGTATTTTTTATGCACCAATTGTGAATTAGTGTCTAAAATATTGAATTAAGTTAAGAATTAGTGTTTGAAATGTTTTATTAAAATGTGAATTTTGATTTTTCTATCCAGATCTAATTTTTGAGGGATGTTGGCGGTGTGGTTGGTGGTAGCGATGGTTGAGTAAGGATATGTTGCATTTCTCACTTATCTTCTTCGACGATTTCAGATAAGTTATCCTCTTTTATGATTCATGTATATGTTATTCTTTGGATGTTTGCTTTTGAAATATGACATAATTTTGTATGTATTAAATTGTGAATGATATATGAGATTATACTTGTAAAAGAGCTGTAAATGTATTGTATTAAACTGTGAATTTTTTTGTATTAATCTGTGAATTTTATTGACGGCTTAATATATTAAATTCACAATTTAATACATAGAAATGCCTCCATACATGAATGTATAAATGTAAGTTTTAATTTGAGAATATGACTATGAATATATATTGTGTGTATTAAACTGTTAATTTATTGCATTAAACCGTGAATTTTGTGTACTAAACTGTGAATTGACTGTACTAAGAGTTTTAAGTTGATAAATATGGTTGTGAATGCATAATTTTTGTATTAAACTGTGAATTTATTGTATTGAGCTGTAAATTTTGTGTATTAAGCTGTGATATTTGGGTTTTAAACTATAAATTGACTGCATTAAACTGTATATTTTCTGTTTAAACTGTTAATTGACTTTATTAAGCTGTGAATTATGTATACTTAACTGTGATTTTTGTGTTATAAATTGTGAATTGACCGTACTAAACTATGAATTTTCTATTTAAAATGTAAATTAACTGTGAAATTTTAATGAAATTTATGTTAATTTATGAATGATTTATGTAAGAATGTGTGTACTAATTTCTAGTGAATATATTTATTTCTTTGTTGTATAAATATGTAAAAATGTATTTGTTTTTATAATTATTTTGCATTAAACTCTAAAAATGTGAATTTATTGGTTTATTAAATTGTGAATATAGTATTTAACTATAAATCAATGATTTTATATACATATTTGATTTGGAAGAAATAATGACAGCAACAATGGCACAGGTGGTTGGTGGAGATGTGTGGTAGTTGGTCGTGGTGGCGGGCGAATTTGAGTTTGACTCCTTTAAATATATGAATTAGTGCATAATGGACTGTATTATTTCATGTTGTGAATTTTATGTATTAAACTAAAAATGGACTGTATTAAGTTGCATATTTTATATAAATTTCGTGTTAAAATATGTATGAAGGTATGTTGAAAATATTAATCCGTGTATTAGTGAATAATTATGTTTATTAAATTGTGAATATTGTATTTTAAATTCTGAACATTTCATATACACGATATATTTTCTAAATAAATCTACAATTTAGAAAAAAGAAAATTGATTTTTTCAAGACATTCTATTTTTTGCTAAAATTTTGTATATTTTGGCTGGAAAAATAAAAAGTATTACCAAGGAAATGGGAGTTACAATGTTTGCTTGATTAAGTTGTGAATACGAATACAAAATTGATATTGAATTTAATGTTAGTATGGTGGCGGTCCAGCGGCGGTCCGGTGGTGATCCTAAGATGGTCCGACGGTGGTCCGTCAACAAATGTCAAATAGTTTGTAACTAGGGAATGAAAAAGTTTGCTTAATACAATATAAATGTTGGAATTGTTTAAAATGACCTTAATGAAAATATTTAAGATAGTGGTTCTTAAAGTTTTTAACCTTTTTGGGTTGTCATTTGAACCTCTATATATATATATATATATATATATATATATATATATATATATATATATATATATATATATATATATATTAGGTTCGATATAGAACTCTGACTTAATTATAAACAAACACACACAAAAAATGTTTGTACCATAAATTGATGTGTATAGGTGCATTCATTTTGTCATTTTCTTTCATTTTTATACAATTTTTTTAGTGTTTTTAAAACATTTTTACATCATTGTTGGCATACCGTTTTGAATGTCATTTTCATTAGTTTTTTGAAATACGATCAAACCATAAATCAAACGAAAAGCATATCATCATACAACAACTACTTATTCTATTAGAAGGTTTTCCATAAAAACATGTCATTTGATACAGTCTTTAGAATCTAATGAACAGTTCCTACCACCATGAATTTTTTATCTTATAAACAATACAAATAATTGCTACCAACTGAAAAATGAAAAATAGAGAAATGTCGAGAAAATATCATCACATGAAATAACAATTTTATTCACCCGGATTGTGGTTAAAATTATTTGGCAGCATTTAGTATTGGATCTAGTCTCTTATCTGTATGCTATGTTCTAAAAGAACATCATGGTTACAAAATATCATATGCTTAGAAACATATTTTGGTACAAATAAAAAAAATTAATAACTTAAAGTTTTACTTTACTACTCGGTCACAAATAAACAAACCAAAAAAACACCCAAAAGACGTTCTCCTACAGTTTTGGTTCACTATTTGGATAAACTGAATTGTCCAATTGGACAATTTGGATTGGACTATTTGGTTCGGATATTCGGATCTTTGGATTCGTTTTCAACAAAACCGAATTATTATTTTGGATTTCGGATTGGTTTTGGTTTATAAAATAATAACTGAATAGTCCAAAAAAACCGAATAAATATTTATTATTTATTTATTTATAATATATATCTATAGTTATTTTTTAATTTTGTAATTTATTATTTCAAATAGGTTCAAAACGTTTCACCCGATAAAAAAACATTAATATGCATTTTCTCTCAAAAGTTTTTCATCTATAAAATATTTAACTATAATATATCTTCTTAGTTATTATTTATAAATTTCAAATCACAACTAAATAATTTGTTTTCTCTTCTTGTGTAAAGTTTGGTAATATTATAATTATATGACGTTTTAAAATGTTTCGGTTTTTGAAAACCGAATTATAAAAACCGATCCAACCGAATTGTAATTGGATCGGATTAGATCGGATTTGAATTTAGTTTGGACTATTTGGATCCATGTTTTAAAAACCGAAATCAATTTGGATTCACTTAATTGGATCGGATCAAACCGATCCATCCAAACGAACAATCCTACTTTGAAAATGTAGATAGAAATTAAAACCACACGTAAGCTATTAAAATTGACATTTTAGAAAACCAAAAGGACCATTTATGAAGATTTGTGTAAAATTATTATGATCAAGCGGGCACATCTCCGCAACCCTTTTGTTTTACCAGTTGTACGAATCCGACGAACTCGCAGTCGTCGCCTCCACAATCAACCTCCGTTTCTCAATCGCTTCTACACAACAAAATCATCGGACCGTCATGTTTGACCGCCGGCGACAGCAACAACGAAGATGATTCGATGTTTCAGCTGGTGAAAATGCCGGCATGTATCCTCTTTTACCTACTGATTATCCACCGATTTTCATCTGATTTACATGGCCTTCTCAAGGTACGTGGCAATCAACTTATTACTTAGCATCGTAATCGTTTCCATTCTTTTGATGTATTGATGTTTGTTCGTCCAATGCTTTATATCATTATATGTAAAGATAATATATGAATATAATAGGTAGATTAATGTTCATATCAATAATCAGATTTCAAAACTTCATTCGAAATTAACGTTGATTGATCAATAGTTTGATCTGTTGATGCAACAGATCAAACCAGCAAGAATTTTACGCGATTCAAAAATCATGTATTGATGATGGACGGAGACAACTTATGAACACTTACAAGATTAGTGTTAGTGTTGTTTATCTTGTGGATCGGCATCCATGGAAATAATACAGAGCACGCTTCTAAAATCTAACAGTATTTGGACCAAAGCAACTCATATCCATGGCTTTCTTCATTGATTCCTCTTTTCCTCTCTTCACTCTGAATTTACCATTTGTAATCACCGCCGACGAACAATAAGAAATTTTCGTCAGAGGTCTGTTCCACCGTGCAACGCCTTGATCTTTCAATGCCTCAACCGACCCGATGGTAGCGGCCACCACCCAAGCTTTCCTTACTGCGTCACCAATCATCCTCCCCCTGGTGTGATTTCGTCGATAGAATCTGATCGTGTTAGTGTGACTGTTTAGGTTTGGGAATGGAGTGAATGAGGTATAAATGGAGGGGGAGGGAGATGCGCATCATGTGTTCGACGAAATGACAAAATGAAAAATGCAGCTTTCATGTCTTGTGGGTTGCTCCCACTTAGCCTTGGAATTAAAGCTGGTTAAGTGATCCATGGATTCTCTATTGTGTTGTATATGTTTATATTCTCATGTTAGTTAACTTTCAAATAAGACACTAGTCAAGATGTTTATTTTTTATTATATATGTAAAACAAATAGTAACTAATGTAATGTCCTTTTGATGAATGTGTTGATCAATAAATTAATTATCGTTCATTGTTTATATAATTTCATTGTCTATACAACTCATGATGCATTACATGGTATAGTGACTTGAAATGTGGATGAAAAATAGGTGTTTCCATCATGGTGATGAATTCCAAAAATTCGATTTGTACTGAAAACAGTGACAAAATCATCCTACTTTTCAGTAGTCATATGTTACATATCAAAATATGTTTCTATTTTGAAGGCTGAAAGGTGTAGGTGTGGTTCCGAATGCAGTTTGCCACCCAAGATGTGGCAAACACCACGTTGGTTTTCTGGTTCTGAGTGCGGTTTCTCTCTCCTCGACTAGAAAGAGTCGAGTCTCTCTCTATCTTCTCCCATCGTCTCCTTTATCTCTCTCTTCTTCCTTTCTTCTCCACCACTCTTTGTCCATGGTTTCAAAATGGATGTCACACCACAATCTTATGTGGAGTTGAGGTGGAAAGTTTTCTTATGGTAGAATCATTGGCATGACACCCTCCCGCCTAACATCTAGTCCAACTTAAAAACTTGAAAAAAAATCAAATATAAAAGGCAAGGTTAAGAGTATACAATTAAAAGTTAGAGGGAAAAACTTTACAATGAGAAATACAAAACGTACTAAAACCAACCAAATATACAAAATATGAAATTATCTATCAAATTAGTTAACTCAAATCTGACAGAATGGAAAATAATTTAATGGATCGGTGAATCAAGACGACCCTTGTAACATCATTTCCTCCGTGGAATGCAATTTACTTTGATGATGATGTGTACACGTGAATTCTCCGAATACTTATAACATTGTACTAATATTAACCAAATCATGTATACATGTTAATTAGCCAAATGGTTTTAAAAATGTCATCGTTTAAACATTCTATTTTCATGATGATTATTAAGATTTTAATTTCACTAATTTAGCATTATTTTAGAATTCTAATTTTTTATCAGTTTTATAGCATTTTACTTTCATGATGCTGTGTAATAGTGTATCTTTTTGAAAATTTTTAGCATTGTACTTGCATCATCCAAATCATATATACATATATTTTTTTAAAATTAGGTTTGATATAGAATTGTGATTTCATTCTAAAGAAAAAAAACACTTGTACCTTAAATTTATGTGTATAGATGCGTTCATTTTGTCATTTTCATTGACTTTTATACAAGATTTTAGTTTTTTTTTTTTACTTTTTTACATCATTTTTGGCATACCATTTTGACAGTCATTTTCATTAGTTTTTTTGAAATACCACCAAACCATAAATCAGACAAAAAACATTTCATCATACAACAACTACTTGTTCTATTAGAATGTTTTCCATAAAAACATGTCATTTGGTACGGTATTTAGAATCTTATGAGCATTTGGCAAATTGAATGAGAGTGTGACAAGTGGCAAAAAAAAAAAAAAACTTTCATTTATTAGAAAGGATAAACACATAATTGCTGCCAATTGAATGATGCAAAATAGAGAAATGTCAAGAAAATATCATCACATGAAAAAACATTTTTATTCACCTAGAATGTAGTTAAAATTATTTGGAAGTATCTGGTTTTGGATCTAGTCTCTTATCTACATACTTTGCTCCAAAGAACAGCATGGTTACAAAATATCATATGTGTAGCAACGTATGTTTTTACAAATATAAAGAAAAATTAAAAACTCAATGATTTACTTTACGACTCGGTCACAAACAAAAAAAAAAAGAAAGAAAAAAAACACGCCCGAAAGGCATTCTACTATAGTTCTTGTTCTTGTTTCTGGTTTTTAGAACATTGTGGTATTTGTCGCAAAATAATGATTACATGACCCTTCTAGTAAAAAAAAATGCTAAGTAAAAGAAAAGCAACCTATCTCCGTTTGTTTGTTTATATGGCAACTCATTTTCATATTTCATACCATAGAATTTTAATTTCAACGTTTTTTTTCTAATTAAGAAGTACTTTGAAATTTTAATCAATTTATAAAATTTTGGTTCATATGGTAGAAAAATATTATATAAATGGTCCATGTGCATAAAAACTATATAAATAAATAACTTATAAAATAAAAATTGTTCTTTATGGTTGTAAATGAGGGGGTGTTTGGATAAATATGTTTTTAGCTTATTAGCTTATTGCGGTGAGAATAAACAGTTTTTTAAAAAGTGTTTGGATTAGCATATTTAGTTTATTCCTACCACAATAAGCAATAAGCAATAAGCATCCTCTCATTGCTTATTAAAATCAGCTTATTTAGTTTATTCCTACCGCAATAAGCTGATTTTTCCTATCCAAACACTTCAACTCAGCTTATTGTGGTGAGAATAAACAATAAGCAATAAACAACCACTTTTTTCCCTATCCAAACACCCCCTGAATATAGATTTGGTCCTTGTGTAAGAAAAGATGATTAAAATGGTCATTATTTTGAAAAATATTACATAAATACCTATAATGTTTAACTTTCATTTGTTTTTCTTACTAGGGAAGTTTTTTTTTTTTTTTTTTGAAACGGCAAATATAATATAAACTACTCCTAAATTATTCCACCTATATCCACAATGAGACTTGAACACTCGACCTCAAGGAGAGAAGACAACACCAAATACCGCTGGGCTAGAAACACTTTGGTTTTAATAGGGAAGTTAACTTTGAAAATCTAACATGATAGAAATTAAAAGGGAATGTCAGAAAAGTCCTAATATTTTCAGGAAAGTTACACTTTAGTCCCAAGATTTTTTTTTTGAACAAAAAAAGTCCCGATTATTTCATTTTGGCTCAAGTTTACAAAAAAATCATTTTTTTTCTTTTAACAGGAAATGACATATTATCGTGTTTTTAAAAATAATCCGGACTTTAATGTTCAAAAAAAAATCTTGAGACTAAAGTGTAACTTTCCTGAAAATATTGAGACTTTTCTGACAATTTCTCAAATTAAAACTATGGACTTTAATGATATCGAAAAAATTGGGCATTAAAATTGACATTTTAGAAAACCATAAGGACAATTTATGAAGATTTGTATAAAATTAGTGTTATCAAGCGGGCACATCTCCGCAACCCTTTTGTTTTACCAGTGGTACGAATCCGACGAACCCGCTGTCGTCGCCTCCACAATCAACCTCCGTTTCTCAATCGCTTCTACACAACAAAATCATCGGACCGTCATGTTTGACCGCCGGCGACAGCAACAACGAAGATGATTCGATGTTTCAGCTGGTGAAAAATGCCGGCATGTGTCCTCTTTTACCTACAGATTGTCCACCGATTTTCATCTGATTTACATGGCCTTTTCAAGGTACGTGGCAATCAACTTATTACTTAGCATCGTAATCGTTTCCATTCTTTTGCTGTATTGATGTTTGTTAGCCCAATGCTTTATATGCAAAATCTATTAATTATTCAACTACTATCGATTAATTGAAGAACCGTGTCAATCAGAACTCATATGCATATCTCGATGGTTGTGGCATCTTGATTGACTGCGTTGTAATCGCCTATTGTCTAGTGTAAGCGCATAATCTTAGCACGTATTGGGTATTATAAGTTTATATTCCTATGATTTTAATCAAGAACCTTAGAAGTCAGGATTGTAGTTGTTGACCTTTTGTTCATCATTTTGATCATACAATCTCACATAATTGACATGATATAAAGGTGTTTAATTAACTTTATGCAGGTTGTTAGCAGTTTCCAGCATTAGAAGGGTAGCAAATTCCCTTCTTCCAATTAAAGCTAATAATTATACACTCCAATTAACAGTTGCCTTTCGCCACTCCTATAGACTCTATTCACAACATAAGGCTCTCAACAAAGGCCTTTCTTGTTATGAAGCAAAGAAAAGTTTATGGAGTTGTAGAAATTTTCAAAGATTCTATTTCATATCAGCAGGTAGTAAAGTCTCACACCATGCTCAAATTGCATGGAAAAGGTTTTCCCAAATCTATACCTACAATTTGCCAATCCAACCAATGAATAGAATCACATGTGCTATAAGCTTTGCTTTAAGTAGATCCCAACTCATTGCTCCTGGAATTTTAGCCTTTTTAGTAGGAGAACTCACATGGAAACAAAAAACATTAGCAGAAGCAGAAGGGTTTTACAAAAATGATCTTTTCACTTTCACACAAGATGGACATGTTTACTTAACCTCATTCATCTTCTCTCTTATAGAACTCATAATCTTATGTCTTAGAGCAATATACTTAGCTTTCCTCTTCACACCATGCATAGCCATGGCTCCTTTTGCTGATTCCTTTGGACCTAAATTTCGTCTGACATGGCTACAATGTGTCCACCACACTTTAGAAAAAGCGGGACCTGCGTTCATCAAATGGGGTCAATGGGCTGCTTCAAGACCCGATCTTTTCCCTAATGATCTTTGCATAAAGCTCACAGAACTTCAAACAAATGCTCCAGCTCATAGCTATGCACACACAAAGAACACTATTGAAAAAGCATTCGGGCGTCGATTATTTGAAATATTTGAAAATTTTGAGGAAGATCCGGTAGCTTCTGGAAGCATAGCACAAGTTCATAGAGCAACCTTAAAGTTTCGCCACCCTGGACAAAAAATCAAACCCATTCTTGTTGCTGTTAAAGTTAGACATCCAGGAGTTAGTGAAAGAATCAGAAGGGATTTCATAATTTTAAATTTGTTTGCAAAAGTGTCATCTTTTCTCCCGAATTTAAAGTGGTTAAGACTCGATGAAAGTATACAACAGTTTGCTGTTTTTATGATGTCACAAGTTGATCTTGCAAGAGAAGCTGCTCATTTAAGTCGATTTATTTACAATTTCAGAAGATGGAAAGATGTGTCATTTCCTAGACCTTTGTATCCACTTGTGCATCCTGCTATTTTGGTGGAAACTTTTGAACATGGTGAAAATATATTGCATTATGTTGATGCACTTGATGGAAATGTTGGAATTAAAACTGGGCTTGCTCATATTGGAACTCATGCTCTTCTCAAGATGCTTTTGGTTGACAACTTTATCCATGCAGACATGCATCCTGGGAATATTCTAGTAAGGGTAACTCAGGGAAAAGCATCAGATACTGGGCTTTTTAAATCTAAGCCTCATGTAATTTTCCTTGATGTGGGTATGACTGCTGAACTCTGTAAAAAAGATAGATTAAATCTGATTGAGTTTTTTAAAGCTGTTGCTCTTCAAGATGGACGTGCTGCTGCAGAACACACACTTAAATTTTCAAAACATCAAAACTGCCCGAATCCCACAGCTTTCATTAAGGTATTAAAGATTTTGGAGTAAATTACACGAATGGTCCCTATGGTTTGGGGTAATTTGCACGTTTGGTCCCTAACTTATTTTTTTAACTCGGAAGGTCCGTAATGTTTGTTTTTGTTGGGCGTTTGGTCCCTGTCTTACCTAAAAAGACTATTTTGCCATTGATTTTTTAATTTATTTAAATAAACACACCCCCAACCCCACTTCCACCTCACTTTACCTACCCTACCTTATTTAAATAAATTAAAAAATCAAGGGCAAAATAGTCTTTTTAGGTAAGACAGGGACCAAGCGCGCAACAAAAACAAACATTACGGACCTTCCGAGTTAAAAAAATAAGTTAGGGACCAAACATGCAAATTACCCCAAACCATAGGGACCATTCGTGTAATTTACTCAAGATTTTGTATTGTTAATTGTATGCATTGGTTACTTGTACATTTGGGAATGAAAGTACAACAATGTGATGCAATACAGGATGTTGAGAAATCGTTTATGTCATGGAGTTGTGGGGAGGGTGAGTTGTTAAATCCTGCACAATGCATGCAACAGTTGCTTGAGCAAGTTAGGAGGCATAGAGTTAATATTGATGGGAATGTTTGCACTGTGATTGTCACCACTTTAGTTTTGGAGGTAATTTTTCTATATAGTAAAAGAAATATAAATAAAAAAATATATTTGGAATTATGTAGTTTATATTTTGATGCAGAGTTGGCAGAGGAAACTTGATCCGGAGTATGATGTGATGAACACATTGCAAAATATTTTATTTAAAACAGATTTGGTGGAGTCTCTTTTCTATACAATCGAAGGCCTAATGGCTCCATAAAAAAAGGTGCAATCCCTCACCATAAAAAGATTCATGTCATTTTTGTTCTTTTTGAATTCTAGAATGTAATAATAATCCTCATGAATTAAAAAACAAAAACAAAAACAAAGTACTACATGATCTTGTTATATTGTAAGAAACAATAAATAAAAATACACGTCGCATGAAAATTCATCAGAAAAGAAGTCAAAACATAATTGAGTGCAGTGTTGATTAAACTCCTAGCAGAGATTAATCAACGCTACACTCAATTATGTTTTAAGTCGTTTGAACATAATATGAAATGTGTATCATGTGTTGTAATTTATGGGTTCATATGTTTATTTATATATAAAAATATATGTGTAAGGAAAGTATAAGAACTCCTTACATGTACTATTCATGCATTGACCTTTATCTCTTGTGGTACATATGTTTTGTTAATTGTACTCCCATTTTGGTACTAGTTGTTTTTTCTAATAGAAAAGAGTAAATAACATATGCAAATATTTTGTTAATCTATAAATTTAATAGAAAATGTTAGTTATAATAATTTTGCTTCTGAGTTATTAAAATCAATGCTTTTTTTTAAAAAATATATATATATCATACTCGTATGTGTCACGTGCTAGAAAAGAACATTGTCATATTACAATTTGTTCAACTATCTATGTTGCTTAACCAAAAGGGGAACCCAATTTAAACTTATTTTAATTAGACAAAATTAAGTGGTTGGTCTTTGTAGTTTAACAGATTTACACATGTTGAAGACAACGTTGGAAACCTCTATGCATTTGTCCTTAAACTATGTAAAAAACTTGTCCTTTTTATTTTGTTTTATATTTTTTATATGTTGTTTAACTTTTTTTTTATTAAAGAAAAAAAGAAAACCCAAATACCTCTCCATATTTTTGGGTTTGTTCTTCAAAACTCTAGAACACATAAATACAATCAAGAAAACACACTCACACTCTTGAATACACACACACACTCCTTGATTGTGTTCGTCCCTAGAAATGTAGTCTTTTTGTAGTTTAATAACAAAATTTGATTTTACATACACACATAAAAATCGAATTCTACTAATGAAACACACAAACAAATTGATTTGTATGGATGACGCATACAAATCAATTTCTAGAAACGAAAATCACACATGTACACAAAAATCAGTTCCACGTTCAATTTCTGGACCTTTTTAGTTCTAGAAATGAAAATTGATTTCAGTGTTTGTTCTTGAGTTCCAGAAACAAAGCTTGCAACTAGAAACGTGTGTGAGTTCCAGAAAAAATATGGCAAGTACGATAATGATATGGTGGTCAGTGTCTAGCGTTTCAACTGGTGGTGTCAAAAAAAATCTTTTTTATTGGTTCAAGGACCAACCAGGCAAGAAAATGAAAGTTTAAGGTTGTCAAGATCAATATCTTAACTAAGATTGTTTTACGAATCTAAATATGAGTTAGATCAAGATTTGATCTGGTTCGGAAGATCTTACCAAAATGAACTTATATTCAAATATGTTTGGCAATATACATTATAACTTAGAATATTGGTCCGACATCAAACTCGCGCTGGGGCAAGCTCCCTCCCAGCAAGAGTATCAAAGATTACTCGAGTTTGAGAACAGGGATCTACAGATCCGAGAACTCAAACATGAGTGTTTACGACTTTTTCAAAAAGTCTTAACCCAGAATCCTACCTTGGCCGCCCAGGCCTCTTACAACCCCCAAGAAGCGTTTAACGACTTCATGAGCCAACATCGCGACCGACTGGACCGGAGAGAATTGGAAGTGGGGAGAAAGGGACCAAGAAGAAATCAAGTTTTTAGATCTCTTGAGACAAAGATATTAATTAAGAAGTTGAAGTGAAATCAATTTTAACTTTTTAAGCTTAGATCTTTTTTTTTGTTAAAAACTATAACAATTCAGAAGAAAGCATCTTAATTAGAAAAAGAAAAAAGATCATAATGATCATGTACAACTAAAGCATAAGATCACAAAAGAAATACTTTGAGTGTGCTTTTACATAATTCAATTTGAATTGATGAAGTGGTGATGCTCTAAGAGATTTCTTGCAACTTCTTGCAACATGCAAGCTTTGATTTTAAGTTGAATAGACAAAATTTTAAGGCTTGACTATATTAAAATTAAAGAAGCGGGATCAAAACTTTTTAAGATCTTAAGTCTTAGTCGGGATCCTAAGATCCTAATATAGATTTTGCTTCAGATAGATAGATTTTAGTATGATCAGGTCTTTTTTCGATTGCATAAAACCACATGACCAAGCATGTCGTGGTTTCCAACGTTATCCTGTGTAATTCTAAAGTTTAGTCACTATTTTTTTTTGTTCTGAAGAATGGTCTTAGGTGTGATCAACGTAAACTTATTCGAAACTCTTAACGACCAATCCTAAATTGAGGCCTTTGAGATTTCTAAAAAGTTGACATTATTTTTGGAAACGAACTATTCTTATTGTTTCAAATGACCAATTAAAATGGTAATGCATTAGGCTGAAGGGAGTGGTAGCACCCTTAGCACACCACCACATCTTTTTTCATTTTGCCACATCATTGTTTTTTTTTGCTGCCAACTCGCTAGCATGTTTGTCTTAGCATTTCATAGAAAGTGATGGTGTGTTAAATTAACAGGGTTTATTTTGAAGGAAAAAAAAAACAATAGCTATGAACCAATCTGAATCCACCAATATATTTTCTCTCTCTCATCTCTCCTCTCGCTACCTGCTCGACGACCCATTCTTAACACCTTCCTTAGCGAATCTTAAAGGGTGGCGTTTGATATCTTAGCGACTTGTTTAGCGAGAAGGGTGGCGAGTCCACTCCCTCAAGTCTTATTATTGTTTTTGTGTGTTCCATGTACCATAGTAGATTGCAAGTCGACTTTTATTTTTACAGTTTTAGTCTGATTTTTAAATTTTGTTGTAAATTTCGTCAAAAAAAAAATCTTATATAAATTTGTCCCAAAATTATTAGTTTTTACAAATTTACTCTTTTTATTAAGAAAATTGAACCTTTTGTACACCGTTTTTTAAAATTATTTTTACAACCCTTTTTTTATAAGAGTTTTACAACGATTTAATTTTTTAACATTTTTTATGTTGTTACCTAATTTTTAAATTTCAATTTATACCAATGTAATTGTTGAAATTAAAATTATGAATGTTCATCAAACTATGCAGATTGATCGAGCCGGTTTAGAACATTGGTTAATATAATAAAAATGTCAATATTTTATTTTTGGGTTCTTAGTACGTCATTGGACTGGATTTCAACCAAATAAATCTGTCATCAAGGATACCATAGTGTGCGCCATATCAGTCCCTTATTGACATACGTGAACAAATTCTATCCGTTGAATGTCACAATAGACATCACGTAGAATTCAATACTACTTTATCTGTTGAAATCCACTCAAATTACATAACGAGAATCTAAAAATAGTTTATTAACTAAACCATGAGTTACCTAAAGAGTAAATTAATTATTATTGATTGTCTTAGAACTTTTGTTGTGCAATTTGCGGTTCATCATTTCATTGAATCACACCATGTGTTTCTTGCTTTTGTTAAACCGTATTTTTGTTTTTAACTATAAAACCGCAGTTCAAATTGCACAACACCACAAGTAATTCAATTATCCTAATATCTATTTAATCAGTGCTAATTTGTAGGTGAAATTCAAAGACAAAACATACAAATAAAGATAAATGTACATTCCTGAACAAATTGACAATGTTGATCAATATCCGACTCATCATAACTCCGATTAGCAGTATACTTCATCATTTTTCATCTCCTCCATTAGAAGGTGCCCGCCCTCTGCTGTGTCGCTTTGTTTCTTTCGATTTCTACAATGTAACCCTAAGAAATAGAGTTTTTTTTAAACAACCAAACTAAATACTATCATTAAAACCAATAAAAATACCTGTGTAGATGTGTAGAAGTCTGAGGCCTACCATCAACTTTAAAGTATACTCATCAGAAAAGAACTCAAAACATAATTGAGTGCAGGGTTGACGAAACACCGTGATTAAAAAATTGGGATTCATCAACGCTGCACTCAATGACGTTTTAAGTTCTCTGAACATCCGTTTCGCATCTCTCTCTCATAGGGTGGGTATGGGTTTATATGATTATTTATACATATTTATGAGTCAAAGTACAAGAAGTCGTTGACATATGTACTACTCATCAAAGATGCATTGTACTACTTTTATCCGTTGTGGTACATGTGATTTTGCTAATTGTACTCTCATTTTTTGTTTCTATTTTATTGTCTTAATTCTTAACCCCCTTTTTTGTACTACACAAGCAACGAGAATATATATATATATATATATATATATATATATATATATATATATATATATATATATATATATATATATATATGGAAAAGTGAATATACCCTTAAGGGTATATAAGGTTAGATACCCAATGCTTAAAACTACGTAGTTTTGATTGGTGGTTTAATTTAATTGAAAAAAATAACAATTTCCTTAAACACTATTGTTTCCTTATTGAAAAAAAATAACAACTAAAAGTCGATCCCTATTGCTTCCATAATCGCCTATTACCTTTAGCCGATTGTGAATTTTTTTCCCGTAGGTTGCCGTCATAACTTTAGGATTTGAATAGTATTTTATTGTTTTATTTTTTCTCCCACATGATGTATGCATATTAGGCTATATATAGCCTTTATTAAGATGAATACAAAGTAATTAAGATGAATACAAAGTAATGGAGTCTTTTGTTCTCACTTTTCACAGTTAACTCATTTGTGGATAAAAGTTATTTCTTTTTTTTCTCTGTGAAGTCGTATTTGAGAAGCACATCAACACAGTTTATTTATTTTTGGTCCTCTTTGCTCTACAAATGCTTGATCGATTCTTTCTCCATCTTTTTTTTTATTTCCTTTTTTAAAACTAGAGTTTGATGTAGTCAAACACATGTAATAGTTGAAAGTTAGGATCAGTAACATCAACTATGAATTCAACTTCATCAACTCAATAAATTAAGCAATTGTAGTCCCCTGCCATGGACATGGGGCAAAATCGTCCAACAAGGCAAGATTGTTCTTATGTGTTTAACTTTAATTTTTGTCTTGTAATTGGTATTTTTCTAATTATATTATTTGGTTTTTTAATCGTACAACAGGAACGTGTTTTTATACACCATGAGCTTGCCCATTTGGT